CATATACATATATATATATATATATATATATATATATATATATATATATATATATATATATATATATATATATATATATATATATATATATATATACCGGGTGGCCCAAAAAAAAGTACTCATCTTTGATTCAGTATAACTTAAAAAGTAAAAGAGTTCTGACACTTAAACAATAGGCATTGTATTCAGTAATTATAACTTAAATTTTCGTATATACCATTTGCATTTTAATACAGTATTGACTGAGATAACTGCGTTTAAAGTTGAGTTAACGTTTCGGGAAATGTCGAAAATGAGCAAAAAACTGCCTATTAAATGTTAATACCGCAATAACCTGTGCGTAGGTACACTGCAGTCGAAAAGTACACGTTTGTTTTCCAGATAAAAATGCTATTCATTAGGAAATGCATGCCCCGCAGCAAGAATGCACTTTCTTGCCCGTGTGAGCATGCAGTCGAATGAATTTCGGATCATCTGGGCATCCAGGTTGCGGCATGCTGTTACAATTGCCTCACGAAGCTCTCTCAAATTATGTGGTTGTTCATCATGTGGCACATTCCAAATTTGATGCTTCAAGTAGCCCCAAAGAAAAAAATCGCACACCGTCAGGTCAGGAGAACGAGGGGGCCAAGGCCAATCACCCCGTTTACTCATCAGTCGGCCAGGAAATTGCCCCCAAAGATATTGCATAGTTGCGTTGACAAAATTACTTTAATAGGCCGTTTTTTGCTCATTTTCGACATTTCCCGAAACGTTAACTCAACTTTAAACGCAGTTATCTCAGTCAATACTGTATTAAAATGCAAATGGTATATACGAAAATTTAAGTTATACATTACTGAATACAATGCCTATTGTTTAAGTGTCAGAACTCTATTACTTTTTAAGTTATACTGAATCAAAGATGAGTACTTTTTTTTGGGCCACCCGATATATATATATATATATATATATATATATATATATATATATATATATATATATATATATATATATATATATATATATATATATATATATATATATATATATATATATAGTCTTAAATCCGTCTTATATATATAATTTCCAGTCTTAAATCCGTCTGACCGTGTAGCTCAGTTGGTAGAGCGTCGATCTAGTAATTCGAAGGTGGCGGGTTCAAGACCCAGCCGCGGCAGACAACATCTTTCTGCTTGCGCTGGGTATGGAAATTATATAATACACACTCCAGAACATTTTCATCTTAACATATTACGGAGTGTACAATAACACAAATGTAGATAAATATAACCATGCGGTAATTTGTGTTGTCTGGTTTTCATATTTTGTTACACCTATATATACGATGAGATATTTACGTGAGCGACGTAGTTCACTGGTCTTACTGATAAGCATCAGACATTCATATATTATATACATTACAAAAAGTCCACATGCGCATGCTGCCTATAATAATTCATTCACATGCAAAAGTTCCAAATGTGTATGGCAATCAATGAAATCTAGTTCTCGATGATCACCATCAATCGCTCATCATGCATTCATCCATCGATTAGTTAATCAACCATCTCCGTCATTATCATCACTATACAATGACAAACTTACCAGTTGCTGGAGTGGGGCATCTTGATGCTTTTTCATCACTCCCATCAGGACAATCCACTCTACCATTGCACAACTTGTATTTCATAACACACGACTTGCCATCATCACATAAAACTTCTCTACTTGAACATGTAATTGCAGCTGTTATAATAATACAAAGACTGTCAGTCAAATTCACTGATACCAATTAATCAATTTAGTGTATACAGGGTGTATAAAAAAAAAGGTAATCGAACTTCAGCGCGCAATTGTATCCGAATTACTCTGCGTATGAACGAGATTTTAACACATTCGGAAAGATCATGCTTTTAGCTGTTGAATGATATCTTCTTCATGCCAAATGGATAAACTAGGGATCCAAGGATAGTGTGAAGTTTCAAATTGAAAAAGATTCTGCAAGAACTATATAGGATCGCTGACAACCTAGAAAAGCTGATGTCTTACACTACGAAATAAACAATCACCAACGGCATTTCATCTCATTATATATTGCTTTTAATGCGCTCGACACACGAGTAGCGTGACGTTTGAAACAAGCCTAACACATCAGAAACGTGCTTTGTGAAACTGATACAATTGATCTATCTATTGTGATGCTACACGCGACAATTCAAAATTTCAATTGCAGCTGTCGCTAAAAGCATCCGCACAAGGCTACTGCAAATTTATAATTGAAATAGATGTATACGATATGTTATAAATAATAAGCACTACGTCGTTACATCATTGAAAGGAAGCATTTTATCTTCATCCGTTCCGTATTTTTTTCGCATTTCCGTTCTGTGGTCCGCTCCATCCGCTTCCGCATTTTAACCTAATTGTGACATGTTTTACAATAACAAGTCCGCATTGACCTTTGACTTCAAAGTCAAATAACAATGTATAATGAATACACGGTCTAAATAATATCGTCTATCGATGGGCACTTAATTGAACGTACTCATACTCATCAATTTATATATCATATTATTGCGTAGAATCTCAAAAATTTTCTCAATATTCATGTCTGAAATGTTTATATATTTGAAAAACAACACTGTCTCGCTTCTTCGTACATACTGTACCCCTGAATAATGAGTATACCGTGAAAATAATATCAGCACTCAATTGAATACCTAGAATCTCAAAGATTTTCGGCTCAATATTTACGTCTGAAATGTTTATACACTTGAGTCTTAAATGCACTGTCTAGGCGGTCTAGCTCCTTCCTAGCTCTGTATAATGAATATACCGCCTAAATATTATCGACACTTATTAATTGAACGGCCGTAGTGCATAAGATCAATTTATATATTGCGTAGATTTTCAAAGATTTACTCAATATTCACGTCTGAAATGTTTATACATCTGAAAACAACACTGTCACTCCTTCCTAGCATATCGTCACGCCATCGTGATCTACGGCTTGATAGCGCATGCGCATTTGCGCTACTAAAGAAAAATCGGGTGTTCCGGGGTAAAGATCCTTTACACAACATGAGAAGCGAATGTTCTAAAATTTACAAAGAATTACATTAACGAAAGCGATTGCTCGAAATTTTTGTGAACTTGGTAAAAGGATAACAGAATATGTAAATAAGTTAACTGAAATTGCCTAAATAACCTTCAAAGTACTGACTAAGCACAATAAATCACTACGAACATAAATCGTACACGCCACCCGGAAAGTTTACTGTATGACTGACTGAATGAATGACTGACTGACTGTTTCGTTTGAATTTTCCCCACCATCACAATACTGTGAAGTTCACACTAAAAATGAGCAAATACGAATCCGATAAAAAATGTTAGTCAGAATTGCATATTTTCCCGTTGAGAGTTGGGTCTAAAACCATTGAAAATGAACTCCCTTTGGTACTTAAGTTGATGAATTTCAGTTCATTAAACTACGCACATATTCATAATTATTATTAAGTAGGAATAAATCTTAGCTAAGCTACGACACGTTAGTGATTAATTGCTTTTTCTTTTGTTATGCATTGTTTTAATTAGGCACAGAGGTAAAAAATATGCGATTTTGACTAACATTTTTGATCGGCCTCGTACATGCTTATTTTTTCTCCACTTGGTATGAAAAGCATGTCATTCAATAGCTAAAAGCCTGATCTTACCAAATATGAAAATTTGATACCCCTGTATATTAAAAACGTTCTAATTCAGAAGATGATGTGCGGGTACATGCACTTCTGTGTTTCTTGTAAGTTTCATCCTAGCTAGTGCATGCGATTGTGCACCCCATTGTGGGAAACTATATATAGCTTAATCACATTACGTTTCTACTCAATAACTCACCACATCCTAACTCATCAGCCCCATCTTTGCAATCTGATTCACCATCACATTTCATAAAGTCAAACATACATTCACCATCACAAAGAAACTCATCCTTTGAACAGGTTGGTGGGCTCACTGAGAAATAAAGTATTGCAGAATGTCAGCTATACTATTGCATATGAATAGGCAAACATCCCCATCAGTGGTAACCATGGTAACATATAACACTATTTAAACCGGCTATTTACACCCGGGGAAACGAAAGCATTAGCGAAGTCTAAAGTTCATCAATGATCGCGGGCGTGGGTCACCAACGAAGTTTCGGTGGGTGGTCATCCCAACTGATCTCAAAAATATGGCGGACTGTCATGAATAGCGGACACTGATTGGTCCAATTTAAAGTTTGCATTATAACGACTGCATGACGACAGCGAAATAGCAAACATTTCTTGAGATTTGATCTATTTGATGATTGATAAATTTCTTGCAAATACATTTCATTTTTGCAAGATTATATATATATATATATATATATATATATATATATATATATATATATATATATATATATATATATATATATATATATATATATATATATATATATATATATATATATATATATATATATATATATATATATAAATTAAGTTATACCTGTTGGGCACGAGTCTTCATCAGAACCATCCAAACAGTCATTCTTTCCATTACATTTCAAATTCCGAGGGATGCATTTTCCAGATTTACAAGTAAAAGAACTAGGACTGCATGCTGTACCTGTGGAAAATATAGAAATTAATATACACATTAAATGAGATCAATCTTACAAATCAATACCTATAGGCCTACTATCGACTATATAAACTCGATCGGTAACTTATTAACAGCCGACAATTAATTAGCATGAATTTTGATTATACATAAAGAACATTGTCTTTATATGACCTCAAATAATAATGCACCCAAGAAAAAGAATCATTATATCAATATAGTTTTCAATAAATTAATACTGAAATAAGATATAACTATATAAATATCAGACTAAAGTGTATATACTCACTACAGTCAGTTTCATCAGTATTATCACCACAGTCATCTTCACCATCACACCGGAATAACTTGTCAATACAATTTGCATTGTTACATTGGAAATAATCAGCAGAACAATTTGTTGGGTAGTCACCTAAGTAATATAATATATTATCAATGATTATGATGCAGAATGGGTACACATGCATACAATCGTACGTAATCTATTAGTGAATAAATTGCATGAAAGGTTTTTCTTGAACATAATTGCTAAAAACATAATAAACCCGGTGTCCCAGGAATTTAGCCCCCCCCCCCTACAATATCGCCCTCCGGGGGGGGGGGGGGGAAATTCTTTAGGAAACTCGCCCCCCTTTAGGAAATTAATTCGCCCCCCTTTAGAAACTTCACCTTTCCTAACAGTTGCACTGATAATTATAACATATTGCTTTAGTCATTTGAAATCAGTATCAATTCGAAATTGTTAAGAATACAATGTTACAATTATACATGTATCGAAAGGGCATACAGTAGATCAATAGGACTTATCGTACGTTTCACAGCACACCATGCATATTTTGCATTTTCGGTGTTAACCCTTAAACTCATTGTTAAAAAGTAATCACCGTGGTGGTTATTGTAATTACTGGTATATTGTCAAGTATATGTTTTTTTTATAATCAAACTGTTTAATTTCATTATAAAGAGCACTAAAAATCTACTTGTCTCCATCGATGCAGTATTCACAAAATTATTCATTAATGATTGTCATTGATTGAAAATAATTGAATTGGTTAGGTAGTTCTTATATATAGATCGTGTTTATGGTATTTAGGTCTATACCACCACATCAGCTAAGGCTATTAAGCTATAAATTTACTATCGTGTTTATGGAAGAAATACTTTAGTTTCAATTGTTATTATTAACAGTAGTCAGTAGCACATTATGACACATGCCAAATTTGAACTTGGTGACTTCGCCTCAGCTAGCGTGTTGTTATTTCCCTATAGTTATGTTACTGAAGCACATTATTATTGTATTGACACACATGATGGAATTGATCGAATTCGAAAATATAAATTAAATAGACGGTCTTAGTCGGCTCTTATAGTATATGTACAATATGTGTCAATATATCAAAGCAGCGAATAGAGAGAGAGCCTGGGACTAGGCTGTGTCATACCCATTCAAGACCCAGAAACATTTCGTCATATAAATGTAATGAGCATTATTCAATATATTAAATATTTTCAAAATGAATTTATAAAATATAAAGCATCCGATCCACGTTTTGTCGTTATCGGAAAATGTATGGCTTATAAGTTGTCATAAGATTACTCATTAGTGAATACGCGTATATATCATATCGTTATCGGAATAGTCATATCGTTATATAGTCATATCGTTATCGGAAAATGTATGGCTTATAAGTTGTCATAAGATTACTCATTAGTGAATACGCGTATATATCATATATGAAACTGTTTTTTACTTGCATTATTTCAATATTAGTTTGTAAATCTCTGAATGGTAAAACTTGCCAATACTCTAATAATACGTTTCAAAAAAGACAAAAAAGCTTTAGTTAATTGCAGAGTTAAATTGTCAAACGTGTAAGGCACTAATAAGATCAAAGTATCACGAAATTCTAGTTATTTGAATAAACCGCATCGCATATATGGGGGGCGAATATCCTAAAGGGGGCCGATATTCTTAGGGTATTCGCCCCTCTTTTGAGAGGGGGAGATACAAAATATGAGACCAGACCTTGAAATAAGTGCCGGTCCGATGACCGGTAAAATTTCACAGTTTGACCGGCAAATATTGTTACCTGGCGGACATGCGTGACCGGTAACTTTTTTAATAAAAAGTACGTTAAAAAACGGAACAGATTTTTTATTTCCAATTTTCCAAAGAAGTGTATGTCCGTCTACGGTGCAGGATAATTAGGGCGGCGAGAAGTGACACATTTGGTCGTACAGATACGATATACCGCAAGCATTGTGCCTAAGGGCTGTTTTCCAGTTACGCGTTTTTCACACGTGCGACGGAAAAATTTAAATCTTTTAAAGTTTCATATAAGTGCAAATAACCTAAACAAGTACACATTAAATCATACCCAAAACTGAATGCTGTCCTTTTATAAATTAAGTTATTTCATAAGTAGGATGTAAAGTGATTTCAACTTTTACGTGCGTGTATACGCACATATGAAAAACGCGTAACTGGAATACAGCCTTAAAGCATGCTCGCAACTCAAACTACAGTTGTCATTTGCGACTTATTATATTAATTTGCTAGTAAACAATGTTAATGTTATTAGTAATGATTTACTACTACAGCTCTGATAAACGCCAGCCTGGTCCTTAGCCGTTCTGCAGCTTTCACCAACAAAAAACGAATCAAGCATAGCAAGCGCGCGAGAGAGGGCCTAGGGCTAGGCTGGATAAACGCCATATTTCTACTTCGTATACAAATACAATTAAAATACACAATTGTTTCTAAAATTACGAGTCACGCGAAAGATGAGGGGAAAAAGAAGCTAAGGAGTGACAATGACCGGCATAAATTCCGCTGTGACCGGTAAATTTAGTGATCCGCCGGTGATAATGACCGGTATAACCTCCGCCGGATTTATTTCGAGGCCTGTATGAGACACTCATTGTTACTAATGCAATGCAAATTAGTTGAGTTTATATTTTTGGACTTGCATTATTGTATTAGTTCTTGTTGGTATTTTGAACTCGCGCTTTATTAATTGTTATAGCTATCATGAATTTTGCTTACATTACATAATTTTGAAGCCATTTTTTGAGGTCATTCAAAAAATATTTATATATTATAAATGCGTTAATAGTTCTATTATTAATAAACAAACCAAAAAGAACACGGAAAATTACTTGTGCGAATTTCAAGCAGCGCGAATAAGTCTCAACAAGGTGCGCGAATTTAAAGCTGAGCGAAATGAGTACGACGCGAATTTTAATACAAGTAAGGTATTTCAAATTAATTGATTCTAAACGCTATCTCCGACGTCTTTACTGGAACGCGAGCGTATTTTAATACAATCAATATATCAATTTGTATGAAATTTATAAATAATCATCTCAAATACTTTAAAAATTGAATAACATTCGTTATTTTTCCAAAAAGAACTTTATAAATCTTGCACAAGTTGTTTGGCAACGAAAACTTCCAAATATAATTTCAAAACATTGTAGCTTTCAGGCAGCTTGTCGCGTTAATTTAATTTAATTAATCCTAATTTATCCAAAAATATCACGTGCTATTGCTGAAAACTGTATGTTGCCATGTTGGTCGTCAGATAACAATTTAGGTATCTCAAGCTAGAACTGGAGTCCAATATATAACCGCGCAGACAAAAACAATTGAAAGAGACTGGAACTGACGTCCAACAGCTCATCTTAGCAAGGAGTGTATCAAAATTTCGTATTTTGACGATGAAAAAATTGTGTTAAGATTTTATGATTATTATGAAAACTCGATTAACGATACCGTACATTAGAATAAAACTAGATTAATTTAGCTGGGAAAACTGGTATAATAACTGTTTACAACCTTCAGAGCTATTGGATGTCAATAGAGAGCAAGAAATGAATGTATTTGAATCTATAGCCTATCTTGAACCTATACTCGCGCTAGATCTGCCGAACCATACTGATAGCGGGCGCATGTACGCTCAGCGTATCTATTTTTTAAACCTCTCCGCATTCAGATTGTGGCAATGAAGAGAGTTAATAGTCAGTTTTGGGGAAGAAAAGTCCACATTTTAGTAAATTTACTTTTTTCTCAAGTTTTAGCGTTCCAACATTTCACACTAGCTTCTACTAGTAGTACTTTAGTACTTACCAAGTGAAGCGAGTATGAGCATGCAAATAAATTATTGACAGTTTTTCTTGTTTGAACTTTTAACAAAACTATAACAATGAACCAAACACCAAAAAAGCAATATTTAACAAATAACATCTTAATAATTTTTATGGTTTGTAAAAATATATGGTTCTTAATCAAGTGTAACGTGTATACAAACAGAGTTTCTAGTTTGTTTCTTTTGACATGGAGCTACGAGCTACGGTATGTAATTGCTGAAAGATTGAATTTTCTTAATTTTTTCAATTTTCTTGCAACTATGCTTACCATTATACGTACTGCCAAATATCACGCCAAAGCATGCTTCTGGGGGTACTTTGACCCTTCTAATGCAAGCATCTCATTGTTTAACTGAGTCAAGTTGTACTATATTTCCTGCGGTTTGAAGATGAAAATCCGAAGAAACAAGCTTTACTAATTAGGTTTTCGCAAAAAACTGACATACTGTAACTCTCATCATTAATTCCCACAATCGTGAACATGGAAAGTTTTAAAAAATGATAACTCTCTAACATCTAAATCATATAATGTTAACAAGAGAGAGTTACAAAAAACTCTCGTATGTTAGTTCAAGGAAATGTCGGGAGAGTTAAGAAATTGGGTGTGGTCGCTGGGGAAAGTGGGTGTGGTTTGAACATAACTTTCCCAAATCATAACTCTCCGATTGGTAACTCTCCCTTTAGTCATAATTCATACCCACAAAAAATATACATGCAAGGCCTAGCTGGCTGTATGTATATGGTAGGGATCGAGAGCGAAATTGTCAAATTGAATTGCATATCCCAGCGGAACTAGCCCTAAATTAGGGATATTTATTTGGATAATTTGAATAAAAGTTTTTAAATAATGATGAGCTGTACGTATATTATATTATTCCATATATAGTACATGAGAATAAATTAAAATGTTAAATTTTAAAACTTACAATCCAGTTCATCTTCACCTTGTAGACATTCTTTCTGTGTGTCACATCTAAATCTACCATGTAAACAATACCCATTGTAACATCTAAACTGGTCTGATGCACAGGTGGTAAAATCTACAAAAGTAATTGTGTTCGAATTAATTCATTAATTAAGTTGCATTGCACCCAGACTCTATAATTAAACCATAAGTTGTATTGTGCCCTAATATAAGGCAGGGTTCGAATTAGCGGCAATTGCTATTCACGATTTGCGAATGTAAATTCACTTTTTGCGAACGCAAAATCATCCATTTTGCAAATGAAGTTTTGCAAAAACAATGTATTAATTAAGGTTTACATAGAAGGTTGATTTTCACAATTATTTCGAATGTATTTTACTAAAATGTAAGATATGGAGTATATTTTGCGGACTATTATTGTAATTTTGCACTAAAAAGATGTGTGAAATGAAGAATTAATATGGGTACAATTTGTTGAGAAAATTTACGAAATACGCTACGAAACGACCGCCGTTTTGTTTTTCGCAAGCAACGTTTCCACTTTTCAAAACTGAAATTTCCTTCAAATTTTCAAGAAGGAAACTTGCAAATCGATTTTTCCTGCCTAATTCGAACCCTATAATGGACACTGCTTTATTATTTTTTAGAACATGTCTAAAGGCGCAATTCCAGTCCTCGCACGTCAAGCTCCTTGTCTTGCATCTAATTAAATTTAACTCTTATTGTCGATGCATTATGGAAGTAAGTATTTCCTCAAGTTGATCAATTCATACGAATTCAAATTTCTTTTTACTTCCTGTGCGTTTGCTATTGGTCAATCAGTTCTGAAACGAAATCTAATTGGCTCATCTAAAAGTAACAGGAAGTTGATCAATTTTCTATCAAATGAATTGATCAACTTGAGGAAAGGAATTGGTGCAATATTTTATCAACACTTCCGTTGCATCGACAGTAAGCATTAATTGTGATTGGATGGAAGTGCTCATGCATGCACTCGCAGCGAGGAGCTTCGTGCGAGGACTGGAATTGCGCCCTAATGCCAGACAATTTATTACTCATCAAGGGGAGAGCTAAGTCCAGGCACTCAATGGATTAATACTGTAGTCTGGTAGCTGTATCAGATGTACAGTCTTACCAGGCTAAGATTACTAGAGAGTTGTGAATGAGACAATTGTAAGATTAATAGGTTATACATCTGATTCCTGGATTAATTTGTTACTTACTACACAATAGTTGTTTCTCATCACTTCCATCAGAGCAATCTGCATAATTGTCACAAATCCATTCCTTTTTAAGACAACGACCATTTCCACATTGATACTCAGTAGGAAGGCACTCTCTCTTGGCTGCAAAAACATCGAAATATTATTGAGAATATTGCAAGCTATAGGTCTAATGACAACAACATATTTAGTGGAGACAGGATTAGGAATGTCATATATGAAAACAAAAGTAGCTAGCCTGCCAATTATTTGAAAAGCTATGGTCGCTTAATGCTGCTCATCTGGCATATATCAGGGGGTCCACCATCAGTGGCACATGGGGTTTCTTCAATGCATGTGCCCTTAAATTCCTTAGGTTTTGTTGGATTACGGATATCCTGACCTTGTATTTTTAAAAAGCAGAAAAAATATAAATGCCGCTTATCAGTTTTGATGTTGTTTTTTTTTTTCATCCGACCATAGTTAATTAGGAACTCACGTATTAGTATTAATTATTTTCTAATTAAGACACCTAAAAATATAAAATGTGCGAGAATATTAAAGTCAGGCGCCTGACCACAGTTAAATGTGACAAAACGTTTTAAAACGTGTGACTGTGCATGGGCTGACCATGGATAATAAAATAAATGGATAGGAAACTAGCTGACGTGACCTACTGTTTTCAATGGGCTGATGGCGTGATTGGATGTTGAAACCTAGTTGCAAACCAAATTCTCAAAAACGGCATGTTTAGCAATAATACAGCTAAACATTTTAGTCAAAGAGCAAATGAATATAACTATGCCATTCTACGATGAAATCTCTAAGTATTCCCAGTCAAGTTTAGCAAATATTTCAAGCACTAAACAGTGAAAAAGGCATCCCAAATTTCGTTAAAATTGGGGACGCCAATTTCGTAGCTACAAATGTAAAAAAATACCAAAACAAAGACGAAAAACATTTACCTTGAATACTTTGTCGTGGCTTAGGCATGTTTTTAAACCAATTAGACCAGTATGTGCTTCAATATTACTCTTTTAAAGCGGAAAGTATAGCGAAACAACAAAATGCAGAGAACTTTGCAATACGCGTGACGTCACAGATTGCAACTAGGTTGTTTTTGCTTACGTCAGCTAGAGTCCTATCCATTTATTTTATTATCCATGGGCTGACATGCAGGCTAATTCATAGCTTCAACACGCAACTGTCACGCATACAGGTCTGACGCCACGTGAATGTACTAGTACATCATGGCCGAAGGAGGCAATGTTTATTTTGCTGTATTCTTTGACTTTGGATGTACATGTCACGTACTGTGCCATGCAGTATTAGATATCAGAATATTCGTTTTTATATTTTTTGCCCTCCCGCCCTTCAATATTAGCGAGCAAAATTGTTAATCCAACAAGAAAAAGCGTGGCCTATAGTTAAACAATCAGAAAAGTGCATGCATGCAGCCCTTTTCTAATAGAAGAAGTGCCTTTACAATGCGAGACAAAGTGTCTGGCCTTCAACTTGAAGTTTCTTTCTAATTTGTCCACCATGTGGCCTGTATATTTATTTGTTTTGCAGGTAGCCAAAAAAAATTTGCAGTTAGCCCTGCATGGTCCAAACTTGCCCGCTTCACTTGAAGATTGCAAATTGCGACAATTAAGGGACCGGGCACCGAAAATTTTTTTTTGAGTTGTGTTTCATATTGTAAAAATTGAGTGTCCGCTAATTTGCTCAAATTATAAAGGAAATTTTAAGTTTTCATGGCATCATTTGATGAATTCTTGAGTACAACTCTTATTAAATATTATGCAAAATGTATTTGGAAAAATAGAAATTTTCTACTTTACACTTAAGCATGCATAAGGTCTTCTGACCAAGGATTGCAGTCAGGCACTTGCAAGTAGCGCCACTATACCTAGGATCCCAACATCTGACAGGCATGATGTAATCCATGGAATCGAGTATCTGGTGGTTGATGCAGGGCCTTGTTCTGGCAATATACCAAATATCTTCAAGCAAATTATTTAAATGCAGAGAATCTGTCTAGATTTTGTATGCACAGTACGACACAAGACAATTTTACTCATAAAAGGGAGTCGAGTCTTGTGCATATGGGTTAACCATTAAGTTGCATTGTGCCCTAATGCACCCATGTTCTTGTTCCCAGGCAAAATTATTCTATCAAAATCCTTCTCTGTGAAAATTGTAACGGGTGCTAAAGTAGTGTCCCAATTCAAAAGTATATGCACTTCAGAAACTACTGTAAGTTTTCTTGCATTAATTCTGATTCCGTGTATCCCAGGGCCCATATATGAAAGTCGCACGTGGCTGAGAGGCAGGGTCTTAGCTAGAATTTTAGATCTTGGGCGTGTTTCTAAATGACCAGGGTGTGCACATGTCAATTACCTCAAAACGGGCTCAAATAGCCAAATTCACGGTTCTAGTTATGCTTGCCAACAACAGACAATACCTGTGGTTGTTCAATGTTCTATGCTTTGCAACCAAATACAAGGTGAACATACGCTCATATTGCACACTAGCTGACATTAAAATATTAAGTTATTTCAGCAACTCTTGGGGGTATTTAAAACCATTTTAACACCATACAGTTCCTATTATCCATCAAAACATTAAAACATCACAGATCACTTTTGCCAATTTCAACAACCGGTAGATTTTACAAACTTTCTTGCAACGTCGTACAGTAAATAGGAAGAAATTCTGTCCGTTATTTTATGAACCTAAACGGCCTTATATAAATAATGAAACCGTGTTAATTTTATCTAGCCGTGCTTTCCCCTTTTTGGCCGCAATAACACAGCCAACACGGCCCCCTAGCTAAGACCCTGCTGAGAGGCCATGGGAACGAGGATGTAATGTACCTTACTCAAAGCCAGCCAATTTACGTGTCAAGGGGAGATCGACTGCTGCTACAACTAGTTGCACTGCACCCTACTCAGATAGTCCTCTGCTATGTATTTTATTCTATTTATAAGTCACCAGACGGTTTTACTCATCAATTAGGGAAGTTGCTGACACTCAATGGGCTAAACTCTCTTCCAATATGTGTCCCAATTTAACCCATTAATCTGCAATGTACCCAAATGCACCAGATTTTGGGAGAGTCTTGTGCATTGATCCTCTCTCCTCCGCAGAGGCTTACATGGAGTTTCTAGTGAGGGAAAAGTGAGCGCAAAAGGAGTGATGGGCAGAGCTAAATAAAGGAAGCCTCTGAGAGTTAATGCAATCAATATGGCGTCCTATATAATCGTTTGTAGCGAAGTTCGATCAACCATCGGGGGTGTTAAAACATGTTTTCGACTTTCATTTTCAGGTGTACTTGAGTATCCTGGAGTGAATTCAATATCAATATCTTCTTCTGTCCATTTGCATCGAAAAATATTGAGAAATTGCAAATGAATATCAATGGATACGAGCTATCTAATCATAAATATCCTCTTAATTGCAACATTTCTTTATAAAAACGACTCTATTGAACTTCGATACTCAGATTATTAAGATTCATTTCAATTTCTTTCACATTTCCATCAATTTCAAGTTTAAAAAAAGGTCAAACAACTAGTTTGGTTCAAAAACCATACTTCGTCGCATTATCTGGCAGAGCCTCCCCAACTTCATTTCAATCTTCCCATCACACAGCGCGCGCTCACTTTTATTCAGGAAACTTCATGTAAGTTATTTGTAAATACTTAAGGAGGCTCTGAGGAGGAGAGTGCATTGATCAACTGATGCATATTGTGGCTCCAGGTTGGAATTCGTAGGTGTTACGCTGGATATCTCTGGCGCCATTGGCAGAGCAAATGAATGCATGATCACCTGATCATCGGCAGGGTGTAAAATGCCGTAAAATTCGTCAATTATGAAGACTGAAGTATCTTCTGATGAAAAATAATATCAAATTATTTATTTATACATCTTGATACTTGGGAAAAATTATAGGTACCATGATTTAATATTCTAAGGTCTTGAGCTTTTTGGATATATTGCAGCCATTCCGTTTTCATTGAAAATATATTTCTGGGTGTGGCGTATTTAGTTGGTGTTCACCTGGCGTAAACCTCCGGCGTAAAATTTTGACGGATTCCAAACTGGTTGTGGCTTATCCTCGATCCAAAGGTTATTAGTGTTCAAAACATGATAGAAATTATGCAATATGACAACATTGCCAAACAACAAGAACTAATAGGACGTAAATCAAAGTCTTAGGGCCTGTTTACATGGAGGTAGGGTCACCCTAGCAGAAGGGTTACCCTAACAAACGGGTTACCCTACTTCAATATGTTTTACAGGAAGCGTTTACATGCGCACTAGGGTTACCCTAGGGGTAGGGTTACCCTATCAAACAGAATAACAGATAGGGTGACCCTAGCAGCAGGGCTATCTTTTTGTTTACATAAGCCATGTAAACGCGTCAGATAGGGTTACCCTAGCAAGCGAGTCATGTTTTATACGTCCTACTGTGACTGGTGGACAAACAAGGATGGTGACGCTAGATTATACATATGAACATACATATCAGCCTGGCGAGTATTTTAAACGACACCAGACAATAACTAGGGATCCAAGGATAGTGTGAAGTTTCAAATTGAAAAAGACACTGCAAGAACTATATAGGTTCGCTGACAACCTAGAAAAGCTGATCGATGGCTTACACTACGAAATAAACAATTACCAAAGGCATTTCATCTTATTATCTATTGCTTTTAATGCGCTCGGCACACGAGTAGCGTGACATTTGAAACAAGCCTAACACATCAGAAACGTGCCTTGTGAAACTGACACAATTTATCTATTTATTTTGATGCTGCACGCATGCTAAATTTTAATTGTTTCACCAACAACCAAATTTTGCATATTCTAAATTTTCATTTGCATTTGCATTTGCATTTGCAGCTGTCGCTAAAAGCATCCCCACGAGGCTACTGCTATGCTAAACTTATCTAAAACTATAATTGAAATAGCTGTATACGATATGTTATGAATAATAAGCACTACGTCGTTATATCATTGAAAGGAAGCATTTTATCTTCATCCGTTCCGTATTTTATCCGCATATCCGTTCCGTGGATCCGCTCCATCCGCTTCCGCATTTAACCTAATTGTCACATGTTTCACAATAACAAGTCTCATTGACCTTTGACTTTTCGAAGGTTACGTTGTGTCTATTTTCAGCTTTTCGCATATGTTGAATAATGTCACTTTAGATTTCGATAGTTTCACAGTTATAGCTGCAGTGTTTAAAGCAGTTTTGACAAGCTTTGATACAGTTCTGTGTACAGAATACTACAGATTGATTCTCGTAAGCTCTGGTAGAGTTATCGTTGCACTGAACACGAGTTTGCACCGTTGACAACGGCGTTGTGCTAGACAGTAAACAAGGTCCGTGACAGTACATGTTGGCTACATGTACCTCCTTGCTTATTGCATAAATCTTGTTGGCGAGCCAAGCGATTGGCGATAACACGTTGGCGATAACACATTGGCTATCTCCTCGTCTTTCTTATTTAAATAAGGAGCTCTGACTCAACTGCAATATTTTCTTCGTAAACGCCTGTACAAACACCCGCTTCTGTTTAATAGTTGTTTACGCTTTATTGATCTGATGCAGATCTGATGCAATTTTTCGCTCTTTGTAGTGAGTTCTGTGATGTAGCACCTTATACAGTCAATGACAATGTATAATG